AGTGGAAAATCCCTAACCAGAAATAAAAGGGTGGATACGTATTTAGAATTATCGAAGAACCCCTGACGCCGACAGACCCACCCCAGTTTTGACGGCGTCAATAAAAACGAAACCCCACCAGACAGAAATCAGTTCAGCCCCGGCGGCGAGCGGCGGGCGGAGTTCGCCGCGGACGGCGGGCCGAGTTCGTTCGGAAAAGCGGGCAGAAGAGGCCAGTTCGTTTGTTGAAGTGAAGAAGTTGAGTTCGAAAGAGAAGAGAAGAAAGTTCGTTCGCACCCCGAAGACGGCAGAAGAGAGAGAAGCCCAGTTCGTGAGCCCGGAGAAGGTGTTTGAGAGAGTCAGTTCGAACCAGGGAGAGAAGAGTTGAGCCCCGGACGACAAGCAGAGATGAGTGCCCAGTGTTGAAACCGCCTCAAGATAGCTGACCAAGATTCACGCAAAATTTTGGACTCTTCTTCAACCAAGAACAATTAGTTTGAAGAGCGACTTAGAACCAGACCACAGAAATAAGTTTTTTTTCGACTTTCGTCCAAAGACACACCGAAACACAAATTTCTTAGAGAGCAGACAACTTGAAGCGTTAAAATTTGCCTAGCGAAAGCGTCGTGCCACAATCCACAGAACGGGTCGGGAAGTAGATGCAGTCCTATGTATCGAACAAATAGACATAAAAAGTTTGTTACCTTTTTCTTTGATACTTTGAACTTTTTGAGTTTTCATTTTATTTTCTTTTATACATATTTGTGTGTTATCACCCCGTTGAACTCAATTTGCATTACGGCCCCAACCCCTGTTTGATCTCGTCTGTCTAAGATCAATTCACAACGTGGGTAGGCAGACTGGAGATCAGTGCAGTTACCCTGGTAACCAGGCGTTGGAAGCAGGTTGGGAACGGCGAGGCTGGTATCAATCTAACCAGATTCCTACCCGAATCACCAAAGGGTTAGAACGTCACGTTTGGAGCAGCGACACCCGGACGGACAGCACGACTGCGAGGCGAACGTCACGTTTGGAGCAGCACACCCTGAGCGCCGCGGCGAAGACGTCACAATTGGTGCTGTTTAGGGACGTCACAACTTGCGACCGTGGTAGATCAGGATAGAACGTCACAGTTGGCGCTGCGACCGGGGACGACGTCACAGTTAGCTCAATAGTTGGAAAAATAAATTTTGCAAATTGTAAATTAAATAACCATCAACAATTACGAAGATATATATATATATAAACGAGTGTATTACCTTCGGTTGTTTTTTTGCAGAAAATTAAGGGGAAAATTTCATAATTTCTGACCATGTGTATATGAAGAACGTTTTGGAAACAAAAATATATATACAACTGGTCTAAAGGAAAAAAATTTAATAAAAATTATTAATAGTATTTAATTTATTTTTCTAATGTAACAATTTGAATCCATATCATCACCATCTACCCAATCAAAAAAGAAGCACATTGACATTTTTCATAACAATTTATGAAAAGAAATAAATAAAAATTAAAACCCTAAAATCACATATATTTATTAAATTATATAAAGATTAGTCAGGTGTGAGCGTAAACTTTTGAGAACAATTTTTTTTCATTTATTTCGGCAATAATTGAAAGCTCTAACTAAAACTCGAATTAATTGATGTTTGAAATGCCACAATTTTATGAATTATTATTTTTATTATTATTATTAAATTATTATTATTTTATTATTATTTCATTATTTTTTAATAATAATAAAAATTCTATTTTTTCATGGTGCGTACACATTTCTTTCCGGGTCAACGAAAATTTTAAAAAAGGAAGAAATGACATCATGACATTCTCCAATAAACCAATCAATAAACACACACACACACACACACACACACACACAATAAACACACAAAAACACACACAAAAACACAACAATACCTTTTGATTTATTTTGTTTTTTTAAAATACAAAAAAAAAAATTTTAAATTCCAAAATTTCAATGAGTGTTTTTGAATAATTTTTCCAACCAATTCGATTGAGATTAAATACAACAGAGATAGTTGATGAACCAATGTTTGCCACATTTTTTTGAGATTTCGATTTGATTTTTATTGTATTTTGATAGATTTTTGAATGTATTTTTTTTACATTACAGTCAAAAAAACTTTGCCAGATCAATAAGGAAGTTTTTTTTTATTTTTCCAATAACAATGGCTCCTTTTAGCTTTTATTTTTCTGTCTCTTTTGTATTGTGCAGTCCAATAAAAATGACAGGTTTCTCTTTTTAATAAGAGAGCTTAGGTCAGAAATGAGATAATGATATTTTCCATTGAGCAATTTCAAATAAATAAATAAAATAAAATTAAAATTAAAAAAAATTTTAATTTCACAAATATTTTTAAGGGCAAAGAGAAATTTTTGCACCTTTTTTTGTAATCCCTTCAATAACTATGTCCACATTTGTTTTTTTATTTTATATAGTAATATAAGCGAATATTTATGTTTAGAATATATTAATTTATTGAATATATAAATTTTTGAAATAAAAAAAATTAAATTGTTGGATTTTTTAAAGTCATTTGGTGGACCCCATCATTTAACTGAAAGAATAAACCCACATGGTCAATGATATTCTCAATTTTTGTCTATTTAAGAAATGAGCTACCAGAAAATTTCTTCAATGAGTCTTGGTTTTTTCTTCAATCAATAAAGGCTCCAACTATAAAATGAATTTTTGATCTTCCCATTGCCACATTTATGATATTTAGATTTCCAAGGATTTTGTATTTTGAATAAATTGATTTTGACATGGATGGCAGAACATCGCAAAAAAAAAACTCAGCTAAAGGTTTAAAATTTTTGGGAGCTATGTAGGGTCAGAGGGAGTGTTTGTAATCCATGATAATCGATGTCCTGAAAAAGACACGGCATTTAAAAAGAAATTTATCAATTTTGCAGAATCTTTTCTGTCTTATTTATTTCAAAATCAGAATTATTTTAACTTTAAATTTTTAATTAAGAATAAATCACAAAACGACTGACCATTCAGGTTGAATCACCACAATAAAATTGATGGACAATACCGAGCTTAAAAACCATCTTGAATATTTAAACAATCTAAGGAGAACCAATCAATGGTTACATGGTGTTAGGTTAAAAGCTGAATCCGATGGTTTTTTTTTTTCTATCTGCACATAACAAATGCCTGCTAACGAGAAATTGCCAAGTGCACATACTGAAAAACTGTATTGACTCCAAATGCTTATTCTGTAATAAATACCGCGAAACAATTGGTCATCCTTTATCGGGTTGCACTCTGTTAACATGCATTTAATATAAAATTCGGCATGTCGGAATGGGCGAATATTTGCACCGGAAAATATGCAACTTTTAATGGAATGAAACAGCAAGAAGCTTGTATGAACTTCATAGAAAGCCGGTTACAGAGATAAGACCGGTAACAATTTTATGGTGCTTTACAATACACACGGACTGGATAATCAAAGCTAATCGCCCAGACATTGTGTTCAAAGACCATAAAAACAGAATGTGATTTCTTATTGACATGGCAATCATTCCAGTTTGTAATATATATTTGAAGATATTCAGAATCTGTCAAAATACAAGAATCTTGAAATGGAGGGACATAAAGAAATCTATAATTCCAATTGTAATTGGAAACCTCGGATCAATTGGAAAAGTTTCCGATAGACTCATAGAGAAGAGATTCCTGGTAGCCAATGCCATAAAGAAATACCAAATATTGAACTTACAAGTACAGCTGAATGCAAACAAATCTTTTTTTTATTTAAAATGTGTGATCTTTACTTCATTTTTCTTTTAATTGAAAGTGAAAATTTGATGGAATTCCTGTTTAAAGGAATGCATATATAACAGATATTAAAGATAATAATAATAATAATAATAATAGAAGAAGAAGAAGAAGAAGAAGAAGAAGAAGAAGAAGAAGAAGAAACATGTCAGTGGCTGAAGAGCAACGGATTGAATGACAATATTGAAAGAGTATTTTTTTTTTGCAGCTCAGGAAGGACCAAAGCCTCGCAACCACAACCAATCATTGTAACATAATCAAGGATGGACCAACCCGAAATGCAGGATCGGCGGAAAATATGATGAAACGTTCGACCATATTATCTCAGGATGCTCTGAACTAGCAAAGAATAAATATACTCCCAGACATATCAAGGTAGCGACATATGTGCACTGGAAGATATGCAAGATGCACAAAATCGAAACCACTGAGAGATGGTATGGCCACCAACAAGACACAGTTACACAAACTAATGATGTAACTATCCGCCGGGACATGCTAATTCAACCTGACGTGGAAATAATAGACAACAGACCTGATATTATCATGAAAGACAAGAAATTCAGGAAGTGTATACTCACATTTTAGATTTAATATATATGAGAGAAATTCTTCCATAAAAAATTATTGAGGAATTGTTCAAATACAAAGACCTGGATATCGAAATTAAAATGATGTGGGAAATGAAGACTTGGATTGTACCAATTGTAATCGAAGCTCTGGGTCTCGCGAGAAAAGAAATGGACAATTTTACTAACAGTGTCACAGGAAACATAGAAATAAAAGTTGCCCAGAAGATCCCCCTACTAGGAACATCCTATTTACTAAGAAAAGTTCTATCAATTAAATAAAATTCTCCCATAGGGCATATGGTCCATAGTTTGGACCAAGCTCTACAGGATACAAAGCAGGAAACATAGAATATACAACTTATAATAATAATAATAATTTATAAAAGAAAAAACAAGAAAATAAAAAGAAGAATTTGGAAGAATTGAAAGTAAAGAGTTTATGAAGAGATAAGCATCATAAAAACATCTAAACAAATAAAGGAAAAGAAAATGAAACTGGCGATAGCAGAAGAAAAAAAAAAATATAACAATATCCCGGACAGGGGGAGACGTATAATTAAAATAAAATTAAGCACGTGGATTAAGAACCGGAGGAAATTAAATAAAAAAACAATAAAAACAATTAAGAGTGAAGTTTAGGGTGAAATTAATCGATGCAAAAAAGGTTGCACATAAACAAAGGACGCATAAATATTTCTAAAATAACGATGGGAGACAGAGATAAAATGAAAAGAGGAAAAAGGGGATTCGTCATTGAGAAAGAAAATGAAATAATCAATGTGGGAAAGAAAAATATTATAAGTTGAAAGAAAGAATTTGAAAAAAGATTGGAAACGAAGAACGAAAGAAATTGTGAAAAAGAACGAAATGTCAAAAATTATATTATGAACAAAAGAAAGAAAGAAAACATGGACGGAAGGAGAATGAGGAAATTTAGGGAAATATTCTTCATAATCTAATGTTTTATTGAATTTTAGGTACTTTGGGTTTAAATTTACTATAGTTATCACTTTTTTCTGATAATGTCGTGTATGGACGTCTGTATTAACCAAAATTGGCACACAAAAAATGTCAAAATTCTTTTTAAAATATGGTACCAAGCTTTTAAATATGTTTGTTTTTACTTAATAACAATAAACTTCTACAAAGCATTTTAAAAGACTTAAAACTTTATAAATTATTATAATTAAATTTTTTTTTAAAAAATGAAAATAATTTCTGTAAAAATTCATTATTCATTGAAAAATCTTTTTCTTAAGTCAATAGTGCCCATAATAATTTTTATTCATACAAACAATTAAAAGCTTTTCTAATTAAATAATGTCTTATGTGATACCTACTATAAAGCCAATGCTGATTTCACACAGACCAGACCTGGCTAACATTAGCAATGGACTACATGGCTACCTAGGTTATCAGCAGCAACATCAAGACACTTCTATCAACAGCAATGCCCTTAGCCAGTGGCTAAATTTGAAAAGAAATGCGGTATTTTGATCAAAAAGGAGAAAGACAAATAAAAATGAGAAAGAACTGAAGAGGAGAAGAAAGAAAGAATAAAAATAGAGCGAAAGAAAGAGTGAAAGAAACAAACAATAAATAAAGAAAATAGGAATGAGAAAAGAAAGATAGAAAGAATGAACAAAAACAAGGTACGAAAGAAAGAAAGAATGAAAGAAATTAAAAACGATAGAACGAGCGAAAGAAAGAAAGAAAAGAATCGGCAGATTTGGAAAGAAAAAGAAAGACATTTTGAATAAAAAACGAAAAAAAAGGAATAAACTGATAATTTTAAGATTTAAACAAAACATGCAGTCAATGTAGCGCGAGAAAATAACGAAAAAACATCACAAATATTGAAGAATGTAAGTAGCAAAAAAAAAAAAAAGAAAGAAAGGAATACATAGATATTGGAAATTAAAGAAAGAAATACAAATAAAACCCAATCATTTGTGTAAGAAAGGAATAAGTGTTAACCTTAAAATAAATTTGGCACGAATTAGATGTGATCGCTCAACAAAATTGGGTTCTGCATTGATTCTCACTAATATTTCTTAAATAAACTTGCAAACAACTCGAATTTAGAGAAATCTATTTCCATTTGCAACACCTCTCTCTCTCTATATATATATATATATATATATATATATATATATATATATATTAGAGAAATCTATTTCCATTTGCAACACCTTTTCTTCCCCGGTCGTTTAGCCGTCAAAATAATTCATTCGTCTGCCGTTTTAACTTCTTTTACACATTGATTGATTTATATGTCTTGCGGAATCACAAACCTACTTCGCCTCGACACATACTCCTCCTCCTTCTCTCCTCCTCCTTATCCCTCTACCTCTTCTCTCCTCCTTCTTCTCCCCTAATCCTTCTCTCTTCGTCCATCTCCTCTTTCCGCCTCTTATTTGCTACCCATTCGAAAGCCTCTTCTTTGTCTTCCTTTTCGCATAATAATGCATATTATTATTATTATTATTATATTCTTATTTATTATTATTATTATTGTTATTATTATTATTATTCTTCTTCTTCTTCTTCTTCAGTCTTAAATTTTCTACTTTTCAAACCTCCTCAATCTTGTTGCATCATAATCCTTTTCTCCAATCTTTCCTTCTTCTTCTTCTTCTTCTTCTTCTTTTCTTCTTCTTCTTCTTCTTCCGGCCATATCACGTTAAAGCGCCGCTTCTTTTCAGATTATTACCGAAGTTAAACAACGATGAGTTTGGTCAGTACCTAGTTGGGTGACCACTTCGAAATGCCAGGTACTTTAAGTTGGATCTGACTGTAGTGTATTTGATAACCGCTGGCAGTTTAAAGTCGGATAGCCGAGTTCCAATTCCAGTCGGATTTATTTATATTTGTTTACGAACAAATAACTAAAAGTATAAGTCCTCCTCTTCTACCCACAACTAACAGTTAATTAGTAGGACTTGTATCAGTAAATCAGTATTTCCATAAATATAAAGTCTTATAATCTAAAAATATTTTCTTGCGTTAAACACACTGTAATATTCTGAGACGGCGTAAAATATAAAATATTTTCTTCTTATTCACTTCTTTTTTTCTTCTCTTTTCGTCTTTCTTTTTCTTCTTCAAATTTTCTTCATTTCGTCTTCTTCACTTCTTCTTTTTCTTCTTCACTATTTTTTCTTCGTTTCTTTTTCCCTTATTTTTCTGCTTTTCTTCTTTATTTCTTCTACTTCTTTTCCTTCTTCTTCATCACTTCTTCAATTCTTTTTTTTCATTTATTCTTCCCTTATTTTCTGCTTTACTTCTTCACTTCTTTTCTTTCTTTTCTTCATCGCTTCTTCTTCACTTTCTTCTCCTTTTTCTTCTCTTCTTAGTCTTCTTTCATTCTTCTTCACTTACTATTCTTCAATTTCTCTTCTTCAATTCTTCTTCTTCTTTGTCTTTTTCTTCTTTGTCTTTTTTCTTCATTTCTTTTTCTTCTTCACTTCTTCACTTCTTCTTTTTCTTCTTTGTCTTTTTTCTTCATTTCTTTTTCTTCTTCACTTCTTCACTTCTTTTTTTTCTTCTTTGTCTTTTTTCTTCATTTCTTTTTCTTCACTTCTTCTTTTTCTCCTTTGTCTTTTTTCTCCGTTTCTTTTTTTCTTCTTCACTTCTTCACTTCTTCTTCAGTTTTTTCTTCTTCATTTCGATTATTCACTACTTCACTTCTTCTTTGTCTTTTTCTTCTTCACTATTTTTTCTTCGCTTCTTCTTTCCTTATTTTTGCTTTTCTTCTTCACTTCTTCTTCTACTTCTTTTCTTTCTTCTTCATCACTTCTTCTTCAATTCTTCTTTTTCATTTCTTCTTCACTTACTTTTCTGCTTTACTTCTTCACTTCTTCCACTTCTTTTCTTTCTTTTCTTCATCGCTTCTTCTTCACTTTCTCCTTTTTCTTCTCTTCTTCGTCTTCTTTCATTCTTCTTCACTTACTATTCTTCAATTTCTCTTCTTCAATTCTTCTTCTTCTTTGTCTTTTTTCTTCTTTTCTCTTTCTTCGTCACTTCTTCTTCATTTCTTCTTCACTTCTTTCACTTCTTCCTTTTTACCAGGGACATTTTCGTCATCCCTACAGATTAAATGACAAAACATCTGGTCAAAGCACTAAATTTCATATTTCTAAATTCGCAAATTTCAGCAAGGCAGAGGCCAGGAGACTTTCAACGATTCCTCGAAACTTCAGTTTACCTCATTTGTATTCTCATGATTTTAAGTAGAATATTCTTTAAAGTTTGTCTTTACATTGCATTTCAAATAAAATATTACGACACCTTTTAGAACAAAAAATGCCCGTCTGTTCTTTAATTTTTAACAATCCTGAAGATGCTACATGAGAGTCGAAACACACTTGATGTCGGATATGTTATTATTAATCATCGGTCAACTAGGAAGAAGGTGATCCATAGTTTGGAAAAGACAATATATAAATTTGTTAGAAATATTATGTCTATCCTGCCTAACACACAGACAGAAAAAGAAAATACACAAACACAAAAAAAAAATAAACACATACATATATATATATATATATATATATATATATATATATATATATATATATATATATATGTGTGTGTGTGTATTGCATGTGTGTTTGTTATATTACATTAGGCAGCATATATTTTATATCACAAAGAGGTAAACATACAATGAATCAGTTAATAGTGTTAATGTAATTGATTGCGGATTCTCTTCGCTAATAGACTTAATATAATAATGATAATAATGCTATTGTATAATATTAACATGTTAATACTACTAACTGATTCATTGTATGATTACCACTTATATATATATATATATATATATATATATATATATATATATGATAGTAGAGAATACGATGTATAAATGTCTGTACATCAGAATATTGTTGGGTAACAAAATGAAAATGAAACGATATGTATGTAAAGTTCTCTAAAAGGCTAATGATATTATTAAGTGAATTATCTATCTATCTATCTATCTATCTATCTATCTATCTATATATATATATATGTGTGTGTGTGTGTGTGTGTGTGTGTGTGTGTGTGTGTGTGTGTGTGTGTGTATCCACAAACAGACTGTTTCGTTGTATCACACATTTTCAAAGTGGCTAGACGTGCGATTGCTTCAAAACGGGATGTCAACCCGACTTGACCCAAACCTTGTGAGTGATAATAAGGCTTGAATTAACCCGTGGTCTGATTTTCCGGCACTTTGCAAAAATGTCGAAGCTTGGATCAAACCCTCCAGTCCGATAACAGGAAGAAGTCTCCTGCCTGGCAAATCAGCCATGCTAACGTAGAAGTTTGCTATCTGACGATAACGGTCGCGGAATAGCAGACGCATGTCGTAAATTCGTGATTCGGTTCTATGACGGAGTACCACGTGTGAGAACGAAACAGCAGATCTATATATTTAGATGCAATGTGATTTGCGACCTGCGTCTTCTATTCCGCGAACGTTATCGTCACATAGCAAACGTTTATGTAAACATGACAGGATATCCTCTTTGATAGTGAATATCTTTGTTGAAATGTCCATATAACCACTCTGATGTTGGCTTAGATCATAATAAAAAAAAATATCCGAATATTGGATACTTTTTTTCTTTATTTCCTCCCGAAACTAAAGCAAATATACTGCTCATGATCAAACATAAGACATTCGTCATTTTTTATGATTTATAATTTCAGGAACTTCGGATCATTAGATATGAGTAATTATTGATGAAAATGTCATTTTCGTTTTTTTCTGTTAAGCTTAGAGAGTAATTATACATTTTTATTGCTTGAAGTAGGGCACAGTAGTTATTTAAGAACCTCTAAGAATTCCAGTAAGAATGGTCATTAGAAAAAGGATTAGCCTGAAATGCGGTTTGCAGGTCGGGAACCTTAGAATCAAGCAGCCGCAGATGCGTTCTGAAAGAGGACGGCAAACGCGACACTGAGATCCGTAGACGTATTGGGGTGGCTAAGGGCGCATTCCAAAAGCTGTGCAGAGTATTGCGAGACAGGGGGATTTCTTTGGTAACAAAATACTGAGCTGTTATGCGGCATCTGTCCTTCTTTATGGCAGTGAATGTTGGATGATTTCCTCAAAGATGTGGGTCGACGGAGATTTGGGTCTACAGAATGATGCTAAGGATATCATGAATCGAGGGTGTGAGCAACGATGAGGTTTTAAAGAGGATGCAAATAAGGACGAGGCTTATAATTAACACCAGGTAGAGGCGGCTGAAGTTCCTAGGCAACATAATGAGGAAGAAGGGCCTGGAGAATCCGATACTCACGGGTTGAATAGAGAGAAAGATAGACAAGGGAAAACAGCGCATGACATATCAGGCGGACTTAACAATGTTAATGACAGAACGTTTTTTTCTGGGGGAGGTGGTAAAGGAAAGGAACTTGTTGAGAGTTGCATGGGACAGAGATGGCTGAAGAGCCATGACTGCCTCCCTTTTTAAATGACAGGGCACATGGAAAGAAAAGAAGTTACAAACGTTCAGAGCTCAATCTAACAAATGGACAATTTTGCTTTAACATGATTTGGACAATTTTGCTGTTACACGCGGTATATATGTGTATTTCTGAGGTTTTTAATGAATGCAAACCGAATGTATTTCATTAAATAATTATTCTATTGCCCTTCGCGATTAACGCCGTTATGCATTCCTTGTTTCGTGTCAGACCGATAATCCAACCTACAGCGTTTATTAATTTAATAACTTCTTTTATTATCTTTGCCACT